AGGGAGAGGCTCCATCTTGCAGAGAAGGGTCTCTGGTACAAGCAGCATTATCTATAAAACATCTCCACATGGAGGGGGGAATAGAGTGATGTTTTATCTCCCGACAGTAAAGTCAAAATGAGTGTTTCATGGGAGAGGGGATGGTTTCAATCAACTGAAGTTGCTTGTGGGGGCCTTCTGGCTCTTCTTGCTCACCTTTCTTTTTTTTTTTTTTTTTTTTTTCATCCTAGAATCTTAGTCCAAAAAGGCTGTGTCAGGTCACTGATAGGATTATATCCAGTGCAAAGCTTGTCCCTGAGGTCAACTTCCTAACCTCTAGAATGGTGTGAGTCTCACAGCATGCTCCCGCTAAACACATGCTGAGTGACTGACAAAGCTTAAGTGTATAATGGACAACTTTACACATATGCAATCAAATTTACAGGCATGTAGTATGAGGCATCTGTCTTTAGGCACTTTCTCCATTGAATGCTCTTTCTTTATTTTTATTCTCTCACTTTCTTGGTTCATTTGTTATGGCCCTTCCCACTTTTACAAAAACACACACACACCATTCAAGTTCCAAAAGATGAAGTGGTATAATAGACAAATTTCTCTTATACTGATAGCAAAGTGTAGACCGATAGAGTAGAATGTTCTACAACCAAATTTAACGTTTGACTGCTTTTTCAATTGTTAGGAAAATGTAAGCAAGACTTGACTGAGTTTAAAAAGTTGTGGGATATCTACACAATGGAATACTACTCAGTAATAAAAGCAAACTCATGCCATTTGCAGCAACATGCATGGAGCTAGAAGGGGTTATGCTAAGCAAAATAAGTCATAAGAAAAAAGAGAAATATCAGATGGCTTCACTTATATGCTTCTCAGCAGCATCTTGCCATTGCAGCTTGCTCCAGGACTCCCATTTCTTTGACAGTATGGTGTTGCCTCACACAACATTGTAGAACAGCAAGAGGACCAAATTTGCATTAATAGGGTTCACAGAAAGAAACAAAACCCAAGAACTTTCCCAGGAGGAAAAACTAACTCTCCATTACTGTGGCCTTATTTTTGAACTTTTAATTTGATTCCACTAGTCTCTATTTTTTAGTCCAATGCTATAGTGTTTGATTACCATCTATAATATAGTTTGAAGTCTGGAAGAATAACTGTTCTTGGAGGTAGATATGTACTCCCATCTTCATTAAAGCACTATTATAATACTTAAGTTATGGAAATAAACTAAGTGCCCAATGACAGATGAGTGGATTATCTCTCTCTCTCTCTCTCTCACTCACACTCACACACACACACACTCACACACAAGCAAGTGCTTGCAAATACTACTCTGCTATAAAAAAAAAGATAAGATAAACTCTTACCACTTATGACAACATGGAAGGAACTGGAGGGGGTTGTGCTAAGTAAAAGGTCAGAAGGAGAAGGAAAAATACAAGATGACATCACTGTTAAGTAGAATATAAAGAAGCAAAACAAACTCTAGAAATGTGATAGTAGAATTAAGACTATTAGAGGGGGAAGGGAAACAAATGGGGGTACAGGCCCAATGAACTATGGTGGAGAATTATGGATGCTTTGGTAGTGACTGTGGTATGGTTACATACATTCAAGGAGGTGTGAACCTATACCCTAAAGCATATAGAATGCTGTAAAGCAAGGTTACCTCTTTAAAAAATAATACAATAAAAATAAAGAAAATCCTTGGGTTAGACCTATATAACTACAGCCTTAATTTTATTATTAATGTCAGATAAGGCTTTAAGACATGATAGAATTCTTTGAAAATGTCCCTATGGGATATAGGTCATTAAAAATGCAGAATAATAAAGTGCTTGCAATCGGAGGGAGTCACAGACATAATGTAAAAAAAAAAAAACACACACACCTCATCAATTCACTTAATCTGGCAGTTATCATAGTGCCCATGCAGTCATATGGTTTAATAATTTATTCATATAGCAGATTAATTTTAGGAACATCCTGTGGGAAAATTCAATCTTCATAAAGAAAACACTTGATAACATTTTCCTAGAAATACAGCTCTCTTATGTAGCATTTGGCATTTATATGTGCAAAATGCTGTCAAATTCTTTTTATCAATTACTTGGAAATTTCTATGATCATATTCATATTTCATAATTGAAGAAACCACAACACAGAAAGACCCAATAGATCACTTTGTCACACAACAAATTAGACAGATATTCATCTGTGCCCAGAGACTGAGCTAAGATAGCAGAATTAAGTTCTCAGAATTAAATGATGTGTACTTCAGGATACACATATGTGATCTACTTAAATTAACTTGAAGTTTTAATGCCCCAATGATTCATTTAACAAAGGTAGGGAGTCAACTAGAAGAAATCTGTCTTTGGAATACGTCACCATGCTGCCTCTGTAATCATCTCCAATGTTGTTTTTTTTTTTTTCCTCCAGACTCCAGTGTCCCTTGCTTTTTTGATTGCTACGCAATATATATTTACCCTCTTGGAATCAGTTTTCTGGCAACACCCCATACAAAATAGAAAAGCTATTTTAACAAAATTTACCCTTTTTCAGACACATCTCTCAGCAATCTGACAACTAATTTTTATACTAATCTTTGGTAAACAAACTCGGTTATTTTTTTAAATTTTTATAGCATGTCAATCTCATCTAGGAACATAACCATCCCCACAGATTGAATATGATGAGATATTTTACGATGAGGGGTTTGACAAACTCTCCCCTTTACTTATGACTGCGCAAATCCAGAATCCTTCCTCCACATCTTCCCTGAGATACGCTTTCCCTCTTTTATCACCTGTAAAATTAAAATTCTCAACAATCTATTTCAAAAATTAGAATTCCCACTATGTGCTATTAATAGAAGCTGCTATTTTTCTCTTGGGGAAGTGTTTAATAGTTGCCAAAATGTTTGTACTAAGTCTTTTGGTTCTGGTAACTCATCTGTACGATATATTCATGGTGGTCCCCAGCAATAGATGCTCACATCAGAGCTAACCCTTCACAAGGCAAAGGCATTGGATTCCAGGATGCAGGGATGCCCTCCTGCTGCACGCACAACCCCATGACTGCCCTCCCCCCTTAAACCCTGCAATGTCAAGCAGTTAGAAATCTATGGCTTTAGGTTCAAAGACAGACACACCTTAAAAATAATTCTTGGCATCTTGGAGAAGTAGCACCTTGTAAGTCATTACAATCTAAGTATGATTGTTTACCCACAGGCCAGTAACCAAGGTAGTATAGATAGATGAAGGACGTTAACCTGGGAAGGGCTTGGGCTGTTTCAGGCATGGAGCAGAGTCTAAGGAGACCCCTCTAGTGAAAGCATTGAACAGAGACACTGAAGACCAGCAGCAGAAGCTGGGGATGGTCCGCCATCTTGCAACATTACCACTGGAAGGGAGATATTGTTGAATTGCCTAGTGCAGTGGCCAAGTCTGATGTTATCTTCTCTACCATTACAGCCAGAGCTTTCCTGCTCACCTGCTCAACAATTCCAGGGAGTCTGAGGGAAAAGGAGAGCATCCTAAAGAGTTTCAAGGGTGTCAAATCTTAGCTCAAAGAAAGCTAAAGGATGACTATTTTAAAAAAGTGAAGCGGTACTAAATTAAGTTTTAATACCAAGAGGATAAATAAGGTATAAAAGGTGACCCTAGTATAGTTCACTGCAGACTTCCTCACGCTATCAATTAGCTGTTTATTGAGTAGGCACTGGCCATAGCTGTTGTGCCAGCAATGAAGGTCATGTGGGTCCCTGTGGGCAGTTCTTGGATCCCTTGGGGAATGAATTCTACAACCGGGCACAGACACCAGGATAGGTGCAGGGAAGCACAGGCTACATTTTCTAAAGGACAGGGGTGCATTTTCTAAAGCACAGGCTGCATTTTCTATACTGTCCATAGGTGGAATTTCCCAGGTAGGAGTTTAATTGGCTTACTGTAAAGACTGTTAGTCCTGGGCCTCCCTGGTGGCACAGGGGTTAAGCACAGCACTAAGAAGCTATCTGCAGCCTCTGCTCGGCTAGTTTGATCCCCTGAGGGCCTGGGAGCTGACCCACAGGGCACAGCAGACCTCTCCTGTCTTGCCCCACTGCTGCTCCCCGCAGCAGTGTATTTCAGTCAGTCTGCCTGTTCTGTTCCCCACTCTATCTCTGGTGAATCCTCTCACCTCCAGCATCTCTGGCCTGTACCCCAATTCTTGTATACATAAATAAATAAATCTTGAAAAAAAAACAAAACACTGTTAGTCCTCTCTGCCCACCCCCACCCCTGACCTGTGGTTCTCCACCTTGTGAAATTTGCATAACTGGTTTTAATGACTGTGTTAATCATCTCTGCCTCTGGCTCAGCCAGAAGGCAGTAGTCTAGGCAACAGGGGTCAAGGTGTTCAGCTTTCCCAGCAGGGTGTTCTCTCCAGCAATCAGTAGGTTTGTTTCTGATGTCCCTTCAGCCTCACAGGGACTCAGAGAATTTTATTAAGATATAAAATAATTCAACTTTCAAGTTCCCAGGAAAGCAGTTGGAGTCAGTTGCTGGTTAATCACAGAAATGGGGCAAAGGGAGTGCAATTCAGTGGTCAGAGTTTAATTCTGTTTCTTCCCAAAATTTTAGTGTAAGGGAGTTTCTGTTGTAAAATGGAGGGAATCCTGGGAAAAGGGAAACATGGGTATAGCAGAGCACAAGATGTCTGCAGGTGCAGAGCAAACCCACCCAAAGGATCCTCAGTGGGCAGGCATCAGACAGCCCATCAGACCAAGCCTGACTTGTGGCGAAGAGAATTTCATTACTTCAATTACGCAGTGAAAGAGTGTATGGGGGCTCCAGCAGGGCAAGAGCCGTCCAGCAGGCAGTGCCCTATGGAGGACAGGTCACTGAGTTCTTCACTCACATGCACAACTGCAGACCACTCAGGCTCAGGGAACAACAATGGGGTTGATTTAACAACTGGGGAAATCCAAGAGTTGTTAAGGCCACCATCGGCCAGTTACTCACCCCAGACAGTGTCCACAGCATCCAAAGTCCTAAACAGAAAGCCATTCATCCAAGATGGTGCTGTCCTGTCAACAAGGGCCTGGAGCTCAGGGTAGTCAGCAAACAGAGGGCCAGGACTCAACTCACCACAACTGGAGGCACCCACAGGCAGGGCCGCTGAGATGATGCCATGGCTGCCCCAGCAACAGCGTGAAGTTTGGGGTGGACAGCACATGATGTAGGACCAGGCAACAATGGGGGTGAGGCCTCCAGACAATGGACAGCTCTCAGAGGTGACCTGGACACCTGTTAGCAGCACTGGGCAGCAGTGCCAGTTACCTGGTCAGCAGCGTTACAGCTCTTTGAGTGTCCAGCCCATCCCAACAACAAACAGCTCTTTGAGACACCGGCCCAGGCCTGGTGCTCCTTTCGGGCAGGGTCAGAGGCAGCCACAGGTGCCGACAGTCAGCCCAGCCTCAGTGAAGCTTTTTGGCTTCTCTGCTACGCTTTTCAGCTTCTCTTCTTTCTTCAGGGGTAGTTGCTGGACACATCTGAGGGCATCAGTCCAAGAGAGCAAGTGTCCAGTCCAAGCGAGTGAGTCCAGTGAGTCCTAACAGGCAAGTCAGAGCAAGTTCAGAGTGGCCTGAGCAAGCCCAAGCCGGGCAAGTCTCAGATTGTGCAGGAGCCCAGGAGCCCAGTCCCAGCAAACCCCAAGTTGGCTCTGCCCAGCTGTCTCTTTCCCAGTCCCGCCCACCAGCCTGATTGGACCAATCAGCTCACGGCTCCCACCTGGTCCTTTGCAAGCTCCAGGCACCAGATCCCCAAGGCTGGCCTCTACCTGCAGCCCCAGCCTCAATGAAGCCACTGGGTGAGGCAGTGAAACACGCGCCACCTGCTGCTGTTTGCATGGCCCTAGCAGTGCGCTGGGTCAAGCGCTAGAGCCCCCAGCGGGGCGGGTCTCCTATTTCAGTTTCATGACTAGGTCATGCCTCTACATGGGTCATATGTTCAAAACATGGTGGCTAACTGGCCCCTTGCTTGGGGACTTTATTACATAAATGAACCTACAGTGATGACGTTATTTCTTCAAGGGTCTTGTCTCTGTGTGTTGGTTTCACTAGAAAGATTGTGTAACCCTTCACTAATAGCTCTAAATAGCTGAGGATTTGTCCTGATAATAGAAGTTTGCTTTGTAAATCTCTGCCTTCTAAATAGCAGGAGGGGACAGTTTCTAAGAAACTGTAGGGTCAGGATCTGTCTTGGCCAAATTCCAGCTCCTATGTTTGTTAATTTGGGCATGATACAAGCTTCTGTTTCATCATCTGATAAAATAATAACAATCCCTACCTTACAGGAATACCCTAAGACTAGCAAGAAAAAAATATGCAAGTAAAATGCCCAACACTGTGATGGATGCTTTCTTTTGATTAATATTTTATTAAGATTTAATATTATTTTATTGATATTTAATGTTATTTTTGCTAACACAAAACATTTGTCGTTTACCAGTGGGAAATGCAGTTAGGAAGACAAGATTTTTCCCTGAATGCCCCATGACTTGATGTGAATTTTATTCTATGGGAAATAAATAAGGGGGTGACAGGAGCTTTGGGAAACATGTCGTAATTGGGGGAATTTACCCTGGCAGCAAGGGGCTGTGTGTGTTACACCTGCTGGATGGAAGGAGAGCTTGGAGGCCAGAGGGAAAGAGATGGAACATGAAGGAAAGCTCGCAGCTGAGGCGCGAGGTAATAGGGCCCGGAAAGGAAATGGCAGTAGAGGTGAGAAGGAAGTTATGGACTTGAGGGACACAGGGGAAGAGGCATGTGAAATGTAAGTGCAGTGTGTTCTGTAGACAGCCAGAGGCGCAGAGTCCCGGAGAGAATGCAGGCTGGGGATCGCTTGCCTTCTGAGTCATGGCAGAGAGCAGGTGGACAGAGGATGTCTCTTCAAGCAGAAGGTCAAGGTGAGAGACTCCACACACGACTGGATCTTGGGATTATGCCATCTTGGGCTTTGGCAGAGTAGCACTGCCTTTTTCTCTTACTGAGTTTAGACTGATAGAGCACGATTATCGATGAGGCACTAATCAGTGTTCTTCATTCACAAATTCATTCATTTATCTATGGAAATTCATGACATGACATTCGAAGGCCCAATAACTAGTTAAGATGAATGAAATCCAGGATGCCATCAAATCCTACAGAAGAGCTTGCCTGATGCCCTTCCTACATGTCCTTATCTTTGGGGTGAAAACTGCCTGGAGGCCACTGGGGCTTATAAGCACCTTGGCCATGTGTAGTCAGGCTGTAGCTTTGGAGAAACTTGACAGGCCTTTTGAAGGCACTTTCATTCAACATTTACCTAAAGCATTTGACTCCATTCCATTTTGTATAACCAGCACCCAGTGGGGAGCATGACCTTGGAAGCACATATCCCCTCCCCTGCACCAGGCTACTCACTTTGACAGGCTCTCTCCCTAGCGCCTTGTAACATCGTGAATTTCAGTTTGTAATTAGCATAAAATTACCAATTAAACCTTGCTAGTTAGCAAATTTTTTTAACAAAGCAAAACCCTATAGCTAATTGTTCTTAAGTGCCTACACACTGAGGCAAAGACCACTCGCTACTTACCCTCTCCCACCTCCCAGACCTATCCCCACCCTTGCTCCACCATCTCCATGGCGACCTTTAAAACAAGCCATTACAATTCTGACATGGCACCAGGCTGACACCTTGGGTTGGGATTTAATTTTGAGTTATGACTGCGTTAGGAAAACATATGATGTGGCCGTTTGCTTACAGAAAGGGAGGGGGGAATCATAAAACCCTCCTTTTTTATGAGCTGTCGCTTGATTCGTTCCTGGAGCCCCAAGTAGCAAGCTTCTAAATCAATGTGTGCAGCTGTTTTGGCTTCTTGGAGCCCAGCAGGTGTATTGCTCAACTCGCTGCCATCTCCCTACATTCACATAACAAATAATAATGTCTTATACACACCAGCCATCCATCAGAGTTACTGCCGGTCCCTGAGAGGCTTCCTTCCCTCTTCCCTGCAACCCTTATCCTCCTCATTTCTTTTCTTTTTTCTTCAGCAGTAGATGCACTTCATCCATGGATTTTTGGGTGACACTTTCTGGATGCTTTTCATTAAATAACCTTCAACTCTCTTGGCCAGAGGAGAGAAGAAGAAGGAAGAGAAAATTCACCACACTGTTTATTTGTGTCTGAAAAAAAGAAAACAATGGAAGTATTGTGTCTAGTGAAATCAATTAGTCTTCCTAAGCAGTAAAGGCCCACATCTGGTGTGACTTAAGTTAATGTAAGGGAAAAGGGCTGCAGAGGCCCAGAGACCTTGCGTTCTCATTTCAACAGGTGACAGAGAAGGCATAAAAGGCTAATAATATACTGCAAGTACAGAGATGGTGTGATAAATACTAGGGGGCTTGCATAGGAGGCAAAAATCCTTGCTGGCTCATGACAGCCAAATAAATGTTCCTTCGTTAGGCTGACCATTGGCTTCAGGGACGGGCTAAGTGCCAACTAGGGAGTATTCCAAAGGGTCAGCCAGCCCATTTCCCAGGGAAATGCAGAGATAAGAGCTAGGACTCCTGAAGCTTGGTGGTGGGAAAGGCGAAGACAGACTTGACAACCTGTGGATTCTCCGATCAGTGTGGGTTAATTGAGAGAGGGCTATGACAGTGCCAGGCATGAAGATGACTACGCAGCCGGGGCTGCGGTGTGATTCAAAGGCATGACTCGGAACTTGACCTTCTAGAAGGGTTGCTAGACTTAGCCAATAAAAATGCAGGACGCCCGTTAAATTTGAATGTCAACTAACAAATGAGAAATTTTATAGTATGAATATATTCAATGTAATTTTTTGACATATTCATACTAAAAAAGGTGCTGTTTATCTGGAAATAAAATTTCATTGGGTGTTCAATACTTTATCTGGCAATTCTTGGTAGGAATTTGTATTTTTTGCTTATATACTCGCCATTATTTTTCATATCATGTTATGGGTCAAAATAAGAAATATCCATAATGAAAGGATATTTGTCTTTTCTACAAACCACTGTGATAACATTACCCAGTACCCTTTGAAAAAGGATACATAGAATAGATCCTTTAAATGTTATTTTCAAAAATAAATGTCATTCTTATCTGAAGAGCTAGAATATTCCTTCATCATAAATGCCCAATTTGCCTTGATTCCTAAAGAGTTTGGAGCTTAAATTGTTGGTCTCTTCCAGAAATCATTTTGGCATAGGTCCATTTTTCACAAAATGTGTTCTACAGAACACCATGAAAAAAAACACATAGTGGTATCCCTCTCTTGGAAGTTTATAGTACTTTTTAGCAAATTAAAGGGCCCAGGGAATTTGTAGTAAAAAAAAAAAAAATATATATATATATATATATATATATATATTAGCTTTTCTTCACCCAACATTTGCTTAATTCGTTTGATTACAGAGCAATGTTTTCAAGTAATACCTATTTACACCCAGCAGAACTAATTACCAGAGTAACTTAGTTGACAAATGCTGGCTTAAGATTTTGTTGTTTATTTTCTCTTCAACCTACAGGACTTTCACCTTCCATTAAAATATTACCTAACTTGTTCTACGTGTATTTTATTGTAAACCATTTCAAGTCTTTCTTCAAAGCATAGAAGAGATAATGCTATAAACAAATAAGTAGTCAAATGCACAGAGCTGGTTGACCTGTGTCACAGAACTAGTACACAAGATATTCACAAGGGACCTGTGAACCCAGAACATTCAGAGATTAACAGGTATTTTTTTTAAAAGATTGATTTATTTATGCATACTGGGATGCAGGCCAGAGGTGTGGATGTGAGAGGACTCACTAAGGACATAGTGGGGAGCAGAACAGGCAGATCTACTGAAACACACTGCTGAGGGGAGCAGCGGGCAAGGCAGGAGAGGTCTGCTGCACCATGTTGGGTCAGCTCCCTGGCTGGGGATTGAACTCATGCCACAGTGGCTGGCGATAGCTTGACAGTGCTAAGACTAAACCCCTGCACCACCAAGGGAGGCATGGTCAATGAGTATTAAAGAGAACTTCTCCTTCTGCCCTCTCTACAACACTGCTCATGAATGTGAGGGTGCTATTCTACCCAAACAACTTTGCCGTCAGCTCCTCTCCCAAGGTAGCTCCTCACCTAGGTGGGAGCCTCACAGGGCTCTGCCTCTCCCCATGACAACTCTCTCCCAGGTGTTAACTTCCATCCCAGAGGCAGCTGAATTTAGCAGGAGCTCCAGGCTTGGGAGTATATTATACATGTAATACTTGAGGACCCTTCAGGGATAAAGGGGGGTGGGGATCATGTGAGTTATTATTCTAACAGTCTCAATTATTAACTTAGCCCTCAGGCGAGACCCCCTTGGTACCCACCAATCATTCCAGCACAATATAAATCTATCTGACTAGAGAAATCTCATTCCAAAGGGGAAAGACTCCCTTATTTATACCAAGGTTGATGGCAGGTACCAGAAACCTAGAATGACAGGATAGTCCACGAGTATTTTAATTTTTATTATTTTCTTAAACCAGTTTCCAACAGCTGGTCGCCAGTTGCCCCCTAACATGGACACATGAAAGCAAAGCCTCCAGCACTGTGCCAGCCGGGATCAGGGAAGAAACACAGCTCTCATAAATCAAGGCTGCACTGTTCTACAGCTTTAGCTCAATGAAGTACATGTGTACAGGATAAAGGCAATGGGCTCGGAGGGGGAAGGAGAGCTCCTCCCCAAAGGATAAGCCCGCACCAGCTTGGATAAAGCTTTTGTCATCTTCTCAGTCTCCTTGCACCCATCAAGACCACATGCTTCCAAGGGAAAAGGTTCTAAGAGCCTACTCCTGGCTTTTGTAAAGAGGAGCCTGATCCCCATTGTTTGAGCTTCAGAGAGATGATCTCTCAAGAGAGCAAAGCGGAGAAGATCTGAGCATAGTTCACTTTTGACCTGCAGGATGGAAGTTCACTAGAGATAATGTGGTAGATTTGGGGCTGGTTTCTAAAAAAGAGAAAAGGAAGGCCTTAAGGAAGGAAGCAAAGGGGAAAGTGGTAGAAAAAAACAATGAAAAAATACACAAGCTTTCATGAGATCAATGAACTTTCATTCAGAGAAATGACTTTCCAGGGAACCACTCATAAGCTATTCAAAGAACTTTAAAGCTAAATATTAGTTCTCAGAATAAACTTTTAGAGTTCAAGAGATTAGCTCAAGAACACAGAAATGGTTATTGATAGAGAAAATATGGCTTTGACACTAGATGCTAATGTGGGGAAGGAAATCCTAAGTAACTCCATCTAGTGCACCATTCAGTTATTCACTTGTGTGAGTTTCAATTCTATGTCCTGAATTGTGACAGGTGACTGCCCATGTAGGGTGGGAATCCCAGACTTAAGAAAGATATTGATAACAGCACAATAACATTAGTGTCCCTTAATACCCAGTTACAACAAGGGATAGATCAACAGGACAATATATAAATAAGGAAACACCTCTAAATGAGGAGCTGTACCAAATAGGTCTGAGAGATGTCTATAGAACACTTCACCAAAAACTGCTGCATACTGCTCCCCTCAGCAGTCTACTTCGTCCGTCTGCCTGTTCTGCTCTCCACTCAGACTCTGGTGAATTCTCTCACCCTCCTGCGCTTCTGTCTGTACCCAGTGCTTGTATAAATAAATAAATAAATCTTTAAAAAACAAAACAAAAAACTGCTGCATACACATTTTTTTCTAAGTGTACATGGAACATCTTGAAGATTAGACCATATCTTGAGACAGAAGTCAATTGACAATAAAACCACAAAGATTGAAATTATACCCACTAACTCCTCTGACCACAATGCCATAAAAATAGAAATCAACCCTAAGGAAAAAGAAGAACAGGAAAAATTGTGAATATATAAAGATTAAAGAATATGTTGCTTAATAGCTATTGGATAAAAAAAGAAAATTAAAGCTGAAGTTAAAAAATAACTAGAAACAATGAAAATGATGACATAAGCTACAAGAATCTATGAGATGCAATAAAACAGTTCCTAAGGGAAAAGATAATTGGAGTACTGGCCAATATTAAGAAGCAATAAAATCTCAAATAAACAGACTAATTGTTACACTGAAAGCATTTTGGAAAAAATGAACAAACAAAACCCAAAGTTAGTAGGAGGAAGGAAATTTGTAAAAAAAGAAGAGCAGAAATAAGTGAAATAGAGATCAAAAAGACTACAAAATATCAGTGAAACTTACCGCTTATTCTTCAAGAAGATACCAAAATAAATAGACATCTAGCTCTGCTAACTAAAAAAAAGAGAAAATATTAATAAAGAGAATCACAAATGAAAGAGGAGAAATCACTACAGACAGTACAGAAATAAAGGATCATCAGAGAATACTATAAACAACATATACCAATAAATTTGAGCATCTTGAAGAAATGGACAAATTTCTAACTAATATAGTCTACAAAGACTAACCAAGGAAGAAAAAGATGAAATGGACAAACCTAGTACAAACATGGAAATTTGAAGATTAATAAAAAATCTTCTGAAAAACAAAAGCCCAGGACCAGATGACTTTACAAATGAATTTTATCAAACTTTCAATAAAGAATTAATGTCCAGGGCCTCCCTGATGGCACAAAGGGTTAAGACACAACCTATGAAGCTATCCACAGCCACTGAAGCACAAGTTCGATACCTGGCCAGGGAGCTACCCACATGGCACAGCAGACCTCTCCTGTCTGCCCACTGCTCCCCTCAGCAGTGTGTTTCAGTCAGTCTGCCTGTTCTATTTTCCACTCTGTCTCTGGTGAATCCTCTCAACCCCCCACACACACACCTCTGGCCTTTATCCCAGCTCTTGTATGCATACATAAATAAATCTTTTTTTTAAAAAAAGAATGTCCATCTTGCTCAAATTTTCTCTTAAAAGAACAAGGAAAAGGAATCCTCCCTAATATTTTTGATACCAACATTACTCTAACACAGAAACCAGACACAGAAAACACAAGAAAATTATAGACCAATATTCTTGATAAGCATCAATACAAAAATTTTCAACAAATTAAATAATAGCAAGCTGAATTGAACAACATACCACAGGGATTATATACCATGATCAAGCAGGATTTACCCCAGTGATCCAAGATGATTTAATAAATCAATCAATGTAATATTCCCTATCAATAAAAGTAAAGATAAA